TCTGGTGGAACCGACCTTCGAATCTCTTCACCCAACACTTTCACTCGAAATGGAAGTAATCCCAACAATTCTGCTTGACTGACAAAGTCAAGTGGTCGTCGAGGCGAAAGGGAGAAGTGTATCTTCTTGCTCGTTCAACTCAATGCACCGGCCAGTTGTGGTTGGTGACGAGAAGGGTTGTGTTGCACCAGTTGGCAGAACCACTTGCAGGTTTTGCCAATGCCCGTGGGGCCGATGGTGTAGGCGACTGAGTCTTTTAGCTCGAGTTGATTTGTGTCATTGTGAGAAGACAAGCGCACACGACTGCAGACATTGCACAAGCTGGTCTGGTTGGTTGTGCAACATCAAAAGGGTCCGAGTGAAAGCAGTTTGGGTGGCGTTAAACATTGCTTCAAAAGCCGTCCCAACAACTCGATGATGGGCTGGCATTTGGTTCGTGTCAAGTCGTGCTTTGAAGAGATTTGTGGTACGTTTTTATCACAAAAAATGGACTTAAATGACCGGCAACAGACAGTTGGGACAATTCACGAAACAGCTGTCCACTCGCCGGCACACAAACAAGCTGGAATAGAAGATACACAAAATGTAAAACGCAAACATGTACGTAAATAGGTTAATGCGAATGTGTAAGCAAAGCTAATGAAAACGACAAGGTTCAACGAAGATGAAGCAATCGAATTTGGCTCCACATCGAAAAGGTGATTTGGCCACGCGTAGGAATGATCCAGTCAGACTTCTTGAACGAATGATTGGTCAACTCGTGGTTGGTACGACGTTTGGTAGGCGCTGGCGAATCAGTCGACCCTCCTCTTTTGGTAGGACGAATGGCCATGTTGGGGTGGTTGTAGAAAGGACTGTTGAAGGGTGGGCGTCGGGGCGGACACGAGTTGAGTGGAATGGAGGAAAAGGTTGTGTTGGTTGGGCTGTGCTAGTGGATCGAGTTGTTGGGGCAGATAAGGTTGGGTGAGGTTGGTTGGGCTGGAGAAGGTCAGTCAAATGGTTGGCAGGTTCAGTTGTTTGGGCAGATTTGGTTGATTTGGTTGATTGGGTTGACTTGGTTGGTTGGGTTTGTTTGAGGATTAAGTTGATTGG